TGGATTTTGCAGACAAACATCCAGGAGGAAAAACAAAATCCCTGGGATAAACTTTAAACTCTCTTGAAGTCTTGTTACCTGCTGGAGACCAGTCTGGGAGAGCAGAGGGGAGGGAAAGGCTGGTGACCCTCGGCACTTTCTTGCATGCCTGACCAGGAAGTGGCCGACCAGAATGAGTGGACAGACAGAGGCAGTCCGGAGAGCTATTCATGGACATCAACTATTTTATTAGTTTATCAAAATATGAAATACAGGAATATCAAGAAAAATGAAGACAATGGGAAAATAAGGGAGGAAAAAGGGAAGAGAGAAAAGTTTATCAGACTGACAGAGTCGGAAGGGACCTTGTAGCAAAGCTGGCTGGGGAATTCTGGGAGTTGAAGTCCGCCAGGCTTAAAGTGGCCAAGGTTGGAGACCCCCTGCCCTAGAGAGAAGAAAAGAATTTGGAACTTCTCCTAGCTTGGCTATCTCCATATTTGCTTTGTTTACAAGAGAACAAAAGGGTGGAACACAGGGGTGGGATTCAAATTTCTTAACAACCGGTTCTGTGGGTGTGGCCTAATTTGTGGGTGTGGCTTGGTAGTCACTTGACTGGCTGGGCATGGCTTGTATGTAAACATTGTAAACATTTATGTAAATATTGAATTTTTTAATTAAAAAAAGAACAACTTCTACCCAAAATCAGGCAAGGCTGGCAGAGAGATTGAGTTGCTCACAGAATCACAGATTCACTCAGAGATCTACCTTTCTGCAATCTGCTGCCTGAGTCTGTCACATAAATTTTGCTTGCACAACGCAGGCAAGTTGGCTGGCACACACGCGAGATAAGGAGTGACTGGGCAGGGAGGGGAGGGGTGAGCAGGGAGGGGCAGGGCCAGCCAGTGGCATGATTTGCCGGTTCTCCAAACTGTGCAGAATGGTAACAACTGGTTCTTATAGAACTGGTCCAAACTGGTAGAATCCCACCCCTGGTGGAAGGGGAAATCTGTATCTCCTTAAGAGGTAGGAATGTGGGGCAGAGTTGGTCTTGATATCAAGGAAGGCAACCTCTGGGGTTTTATTCTTTATTATTTGGTGTATTCAATCAACCAGAATAGAGTTGGAAGGGACCTTGGAGGTCTTCTAGTCCACTCCCATGCTCAAGCAGGAGACCCTATACCATTTCAGACAGGTGGGCATCCATTCTCTTCTTAAAGACCTCCCGTGATGGAGCATCCACAACTTCTGGTGGCAAGCTGTTCCACAGATAATTGTTCTCATAGTCAGGAAATTTCTCCTTAGTTCCAGGTTGCTTCCCTCCTGGATTTGTTTCCATCTGTTGCTTCTTGTCTTGCCTTCAGGGGCTTTGGGAAACAGATTGTCCCCCTCTTCTTTGGGGGCAGCCCCTCAATTAGCGAAACACTGTTATGTCACCCCTAGTCCTTCTTTTCTCTAGACTCAATTCCTGGAATTGTTCTTCATGGGTTTTTTTGGTCTCTGTGCTGTCCAGACAGTATATAGTTAATGGGGAATTGGTATTGTTAGTTAGGAATTGGGAGCTGTCCCCTTAAGGGAATGCATCATGGTAAATGTAGTTAAGGTATCCTAGGAAATGTAGTCCATGTCATGTGGCCACATCTGTAATCCCGATTGGTCACTGAATTGACCCTTGATGGGTTGGGCGAGGCTCCTTCACTCTGGCCTGAAGCCAGCATCGGGCTGCTGCTTCACCTCCTTGCTCCACCATTATCGGAATGAAAGGAGACCTGTCCTTTTACACCAGAAAGTCAGCTATGCAAAGAGTTGGACATTGAGATGAATCTCAACGTAACCGTGAATTATCTCGAGGATGTCTGATGAACCAATAAAAAGACTTTGTATGGATGCTTTGTGGAGTTAATCTGTCTGCTTTATAATCAGATATTGATTGTAAGGTCCAGAACAGTCTCCAAGTCCTTAATCATTTTAGTTGCCCTTCTTTTCACTTTTTTTTTTTTGGAAAGTCTCAGCATATTTTTGTAATGTGGGGACCAAAACTGGGTGCTGTATTCCAGGTGTGGTCATTCACATCACATTTTGATAAAAACACAAGAGATAAAAATGCAAAACCGTGAAATATAATGTCTAAAACATTATAAACCTATTAGATTAGAGATATCATTTTTGCTTCCTTTATCACAGCCAGGAAATCAGCAAAGCCTCCATTATAGCCTTTGTTTTGGCCCTTTCGATGTTGGCCCCGTCGTCACAGTTCAGAATAACAGAGTTGGAAGGAACCGTCTGTGATTCTATGCTGAATCGAACTACACAACAGCACACATTAACATGAAATTCCGATGAACTGCTCTTGAAAAAGAAAAAGAAAAAGAAAAGACCACACACCAAACAACGTCACCATCCCAAGGAGGAGGAGGATAACAACACCAGCATCCAAAAATGCCAAATTATTACCAATGTTCTAAGGCCGTGATGGCGAACCTATGGCACATGTGCCACTGGTGGCATGCAGAGCCATTTGGGCGGGCACGCGAGCCCCAGCCAAACTTACCTGCACTGCACATAGGTGTGCCTCCCAGCTGATTTTTGGCCCGTTTGAGGCTGTTTTCGTCCTCCCGGAGGCTCGAGGGAAGCCTCTACAGCCTCAGGAGGCCGAAAAATGGGCCTTCCGGAAATACCAGAAGTGCCCATTTTCAGCCTTTGGACGGCTTCTGGAGCCCAGGGGAGGCTGTTTTCATCCTCCCGGGAGCTTGAGGGAAGCCTCTACAGCCTTTGGAGGCTGAAAAACGGGCCCGTTTCTGCACTTCTGGTATTTCCAGAAATACCGGAAGTGCCGAAATGGGCCTGTGTTTCAGCCTCCAAAGGCTGTAGAGGCTTCCCTCGAGCCTCTGGGAAGCTGAAAAAGGCCTCAAATGGGCCAAGCATCAGCTGGGAGGTGCGCACATGCGCAGTGCAGATAAGGAGGGCATTGTGTGCACATGCGCATGGGGGGGATGGGGCTGATTGCATTGTGGGTGCTGGCATGCGTGCGCACACGCTATCGTGCATGCACGTGCTTTCGGCATACCACAGCAAAAAGGTTCACCATCACTGTTCTAAGGTTTTTTTTCCTATCTTTATTGTCTGCACTTTCTCACTGATTTCTTCCTTTATTTTTTAGTTTGCGTTACTTTTTATTCTCTTTACTTTGTAATGTTTGATAAAATTACTTAAAAATAGAGCCACCAAGGAAGGCAACACAGGCGCTCCCCTTTCCCCTTCAGCAACTGAGCTGGCCAAACCAGGGGTGGGATTCAAACATCCCAGCAACCGGTTCGCTGCCCAGTTGCTGGGTGGGCGGGACCATGGTGGGCGGGGCCTACCGGTTCTTCTGGGAGGGCAGTTTCTCACCTTCCCAAGGGTCTGGAGGGTTCCCTCTGGCTTCTGGGAGGGCGAAAATGGCCTCCCCAGGCTCTGGAGGCCTTCCGGAAGCCAGAAACAGGCCCAGAAGGTCCGTTTTTCCCCCTCCCAGAGTCTCCGCACAGGCCCTTCACTTACCTGCATTGAAAATGGGCTGCGTGGAGACTCCTGGGAGGGGTGGGAGGGGGTGGGAGGGGCCAGCCGCTCAGTTCAAATACAAGCTCGGTGAACCAGATGCAAATTTAACATCCAGTTCAGGCAAACCAGTCCAAACCGGTAGAAACCTACTCCTTGGCCAAACTATTTCCAAGGGAGGATTTGAGTTCTCCCGTGTCCGCAGTGCTCACAGTACCTTTCATCTCCGGTTTGCAGCGCTTCGCCTCCCCGTGGCTGGCCAGGAGCCCCAGAAGAGGCAGCCACATCCAGGTGACGAGCATCGTCCTGCGAGGAGACAAAGCAGACGGCCGTCAGAAGGAGCACAACCTGCGGGAGCCTCATAGCTGGGTTCCTGCTTAGCAATTGGTCTCTGCAGATCCCCTCTTGGGGGACACTGGGAGGGCCTTGGGCATCAAGACCTTCCCAGTGGAAACGGACCAGACCAGCAGACAGAAAAAGAGTTCTTCTTTTTTTTTTGTAATTTTTAAAAAAATTATGTAAGGTATAGTAGGGGTGGGATTCAAATTTCTTAACAACCTGTTCTGTGGGCATGGCCTAATTTGTGGGTGTGGCTTGGTGGCCACGTGACTGGCTGGGTGTGGTTTGTATGTAAATATTGTAAATATTTATGTAAATATTTATTTATTTTATTAAAAAAAGCAACTTTTACCCAAAATCAGGCAAAGCAGGCAGGCAGATTGAGTTGCTCACACTTAAGAGATCTGTGTTTCTGCCATCGGCTATCTGAGTCTGTCACATAAAATTTGCTAGCAAGCAAACTCAAATAATTTGCTAGCATGCAAACTCACAAAATTAACTCACAACACACCATATGCGTAAATATTGAATTTTTTAATAGAAAAATGGCAACTTTTACCCAAAATCAAGCAAAGCAGGCAGGCAGATTGAGTTGCTTGCAGAATCACAGATTCACTCAGAGATCTATCTATCTGCAATCTGCTACCTGAGTCTGTCACATAAAATTTGCTAGCATGCAAACTCACAAACTTAACTCACAACACGCCATATATGTAAATATTGATTTTTTTTAAATTAAAAAAAGAGCAACTTTTACCCAAAATCAGGCAAGGCAGGCAGGCAGATTGAGTTGCTCACAGAATCACAGATTCACTTAGAAATCGATCTTTCAGCAATCTGCTATCTGAATCTACACTGAAAGATAGAAGCTTCAGCCCTAAGGAAGGTTCAGCTCTGCTTTTAGATTAGCTAGAAAGCAAGAAATCCAACAATTTCCTGCTTTCTAGCTAATCTAGTTGGAACAGCTGATGGTCAGGGGGGAAAAAAGGGAAAATTAGCATCTTAGCCGGCAAGTTTGCCAGGTAAAGAGTGAGTGGGTGTGGAGGGGAGTGGCCAGCCAGTGGCACAATTTGCCAGTTTTCCGAACTGGGCAGAATCATAACAATCGGTTTTATAGAACCGGTCCGATCAGGTAGAATCCCACCCCTGAGGTACATACAATTCATCTTCCATTTAACAGTGTGTCATCTGGGTACAAATATCTTATGCAATAACAATTAAAATGTACATCCATGTTCATTCGTTTGATATTAATATTCTATTCTTTTCTTATTCTTATCTTATTAGTATACATAATATGTCTATTACTGTAACCCTCCTCTTCTTAACATATTTAATTCTATAAACCTATTTTCTATATTTCATTAATCTATCATCTATTTCTAGCTTTCCTTTTTTTTTCTCTAGCCATCGATAAAATAATTCTCTAGCCATCGATAAAATAATATCTTATAATATTCAGTTTGCTCCTTCTCTTTAATTGCAAGTGTTAATCTATTCATTTAATGTGTTAATCTATTCATTTCTGCACAGAAAAAGAATTCTGAGAAGAAGCGAACATAACAGAAACGGTCAAGTGAAAAAGACCAGCAAAACTGGAAAGAAGGCAATGTTCCCAAGAGGGTAGAAGCAAATTTAAGGGTCGTTTGTGCTCTCTGAGCTTGGTTGGTTCTTTGCAGATGTTTCATTACTAGAACTAGGCAACGTAGCCCTAGTACTGATGATGTTACTTAGCTTGGGTGATGCAATGTCTCCAAAAAATCCACCAAGCTCAGAGAGCACCAAGGACCCTGCAGTTGTCATCATCCTCTTCCTCCTCTCTATAAACCCTTCTCCCTTCTAGCACTGATGATGTTCCCTAGTTGGGTCATGAAATGTCTGCAAGAAAACAACCCAGCTCAGAGAGCATCAAGGACTCCACAGTACTCCTCCTCCTCCTCCTCCTCCCGAATCCCACTCCCTTCTACCACTTTGGGTAAATTGTGTAATGAAACACCTGCAGGAAAACCCCCCAGCTCAGAGAACTCCATGGAGCCCTCCTTTCAATCCTGAGCTACAAATAGTTGCGTTTATTGGTAGCACATTTAGAGTAGCGATTGGGATGGATGAATGGATGGACTGATTGACAGGACTTACGTGATTGCCTATCACGTACAATGATTCTCAGCGATTCACCACAGGAAAAAAAAACTTCTCCCTGAGTACCAAACTGAACAAACTTGCACTTCAACTCCCTTTCTAGATTTGCTGGACTCTCCGGCAAATTTTTATTTTATTTTTTTCCAAACATATTTTCTTCCATTTGATGACGTGTCATCTGGAAACAAATACCTTGTGCAATACAGTTGGTGTTTACGGTCATATTCATCACCTAGCGTTATTCTCTGATTTATCTTATTGTACTTATTGTACTTAATTTCACTATCTCTTTATCTTTCTTCTTAGCTTTTTATTTCTATTAAAAATATCTATTATCTTTCTTAACTAATCCATTAATTATAACCAGCCTTCATATTTTTTCTCTAACCATTGATAAAATAATTCCCATGCCTTATAATATTCAGTTTGCTCTCTCTCTTTAATTACAAGGGTTAATCTATTCATTTCTGCACATTGTAGTATTTTCCTAATCCCTTTTCCAATTTTGAACAAATACAATTCTCGCTACAGTTATCACGTGAATAATCAGATATACATTTTCTTTACTGTAAGTTTCAGATAAGATCGCCAACTGGAATATTTCTGGTTTTAAATCAATATGTTGTTGTATTGTCTTTTCCAGCCATATTTTTTTAGCTTCCTGTCCAACACTGGAGCGGTATATAAGTCCAGGGGCTACTGCTTTTGGGGTCTTTGCACTGCAGGAGGTGGCCAAACCTCCCCCAGAATCTCCAAAGTCTTATCTGGCCTTTCCCAAGCAAATGCAGCCAGTCTGGTGCGATTCTTGTAGCATTGATGACTAGCCAGGAAGCTTCTGTTTGCAACTCTTCACAGGTGGTTCTGGTTGCTTTCACTGAGACTGAGCTACTACTTGGCGGAAGAACCAAATCTTCACAGCCCTCCGGAACAGGAGTGTCCAACCTTAGCCACTTTAAGCCACTTGTGGAGTTCAACTCCCAGAATTCCTCAGCCAGCAAAGCTGAGGAATTTCTGGAAGTGTTCTGCCCTGACCTCCTTTTTAGGGCCGAGAGAGAGAGAGACTGGCCCAAGGTCATTTAGTTCAGGGGTCTCCAACTTGGCAACTCGCAACTCCCAGAATCCCCCAGCCAGCATGTCTTGAGTTGAAATCCACAATCCAATGTTGCGAGGTTGGACACCCCTGGGTTACAGCAAACCTAGAGGTGGCTGCGGGGTTCTGAGAGTTGAAGTCCACAAGTCTTCAACTTGCCAAGGTCAGAAACCCCTGATCTAGTTGACTTTCATGCCCGTGGCAAGATAAGGATTCATGGCTTTCTGCCTACTAAGGCATGGGCATAATCCGGTATCAAATCGCCATCTAAGCATAATAGAACAGAATAGGATTATTTCTTGGCCAAGTGTGATGGGAGTTTGTCTTGGTGCAGCTGCTCTCAGTGTACATAGAAGTAAACATACATTCATCAAGAGATTGGATCTAAGCCTCTTCAAATGTTTTGTGTGTCAACTCCCCACCAGAAGAAAAGCATTTTGTAAATATATTCATCCAGGTAGAGACCACCTGTTTAAGAAAGCCTGTGGCTCTGGTCTTTGACAAAATCTTGGACTTTGTTTAACTCACCTGGAGTCTCTCACTTGGCCAACCAAATGTGGATGAATTTCACAGCTGGTCTTCTTCAAACCGCAATTTCTCCAAAATATTGACATTCTTCTGTATGGGGCATTTTTAACTTCTTTCTTGGTGGGTTGGCTCCTCCTTACTCTTCCTTCAGAGAGCTCAGCCAGCCAATGGGAAGGTGCAGAGCTTCTGCTGGAGACCAATCAAGGCCAGGTTACAAATCTCCCACGTCTGTTTCCGCCTTGCTTCTGGGTGCTGGCAATGGCGTGAGACGGCATGTTACCCAACCCACATTTTACTGGATCTCCTCTTTCCACGTCTTAAGTGATTCTTTTGGACAGGCATTTAATAGTCTTCCTTGGCAGATGTCAACTGGTTTCCATATGAGAAGATCACTATTGTCTGTGAGCAAACAGCCATATAAATGTAGTTTTTGCAAGGCCCAGGGATGCTCACACCTCCAAAGTCAACACCCATGCAATGTTCAGGTGACACCTGTCAGGTTTCCAAGTGATGAAATCCATTTTAAAAGAAAAGAACAAAGTCCATCTTCCAAGACAATTTCTTTGATTTAGGAAAGCATCAGATCGGCCTAGTCCATGGAAATTGACAACACCAAGCTGGCAGGAATAAGCAACACTCCAGCAGACGGGCTCAAGATACAGAAAGACCTGGACAGACTTGAACGTTGGGGCCTATCTAACAAAGGGAAAGCCAATGGTGAAAAAAGCCAGGTTCTACATTTAGGCAAGAAAAACCGAATGCACAGCTACAGTATATAGGCGGAACCTGGCTCAACAGCAGTAAGAGCGAGAGGGATCTCGGAGTCCTTGGACAGAGATCATGGCTGATTACCAGGCCTTGAATGGTTGAGAACCAGGCTGAGGAAATGGCAGGAGAGAATGTGTGCAGGTGTTCTATTTGCAGGAGTGGCAGGTGCGCAGCTGCTCACACAAATAGAGTTGCATGCACACTCACGCACTTGCTCATTACTTGTGCAGATCCATCCTCTCCACACACACACCACCCCCGCCGGTCCACAAAGCCAGAAAGGTTCGGGAAGTCCGTCCTCGTGGACAATCCCTTAGATATGAGCCAGCTGTGTGCTGCAGCTGCCAAAAAAGCCAACACAATCCGAGGCTGCATCAACAGAGGAATAGAATCAAGAATACCTGAAGTGTTAATACCACTCTATAAAGACTGAGTAAGACCACACCTAGAGTACAGCATCCAGTTCTGGTCACCACACTATAAAAAAAGACGTTGAGGCTCTAGAAAAAGTGCAGAGAAGAGCAACAAAGAGGATTAGGGGACTGGAGGACAAAACATATGAAGAACAGTTGCTGGAACTGGATATGTCTAGTTTAATGAAAAGAAGGACTGGGGGAGACATGATAGCAAAACGTAAAATCACTGAACCGTTAGTTACACCGGTTGGATCCCACCCCTGCTCCCATAGGGCCACGCAGGGGCAACTCTGTAGGCTGTCCTGAGTCCCAGGCTTGGTTGAGCCTTGCTGGGTGATGATGGAATGAAAGGGCTTTGGGCAATTCCTATTATAGCTCTACCTGGAATAGATCTTTGTTATGTGAAATAGACTGGCCCAGGCCAGAGTAATGGCCCATGAGCAAAAATGGGGGCTGAGTTTCTGCTTCTGAGTGTCTATTTTTCTTTTTAGGGGAAGTATTCTGCCTTTTTAGTATATCCTAAAATATTTCATTTTCCTAGGAGAGGGGAGGGTTTTAACTTCCAACACAACGGATGGAAACTAATCAAGGAGAGAAGCAACCTAGAACTAAGGAGAGACTTCCTGACAGTGAGGACAATTAACCACTGGAATGACTTGCCACCAGAAGTTGTGGGTGCTCCATCCCTGGAGGTCTTTAAGAAGAGACTAGACAGCCATTTATCCAGAATGGTTTAGAACAGGGGCCTTGGCCACTTGAAGGCATGTGGACTTCAACTCCCAGAATCCCTCAGCCATTCCCCACATCTTAGCGGTCAAGGTTGGAGACCCCTGGTTTAGAATTTCCTCCTTGAGCAGGGGGTTAGACTAGAAGATCTTGAAGGTCCCTTTGGTGGGCCCTCTGCTAAAAATAAAGCCAGGTCATGGCACGTGCTTTAAAGTAAACCAGGAAGCCTGTCATTGTGGAGTCTGCCTGGCAAGAACAAAGAATGCTTATCCACAGGAAGATATGCGTGTGTAAATCTGGTAACAATCCTGGCTAATTGGAAAGCTGTAACACGAGTTAGCCAACTTGTAGACCTCAGCTAAAAGTTAGGGCTAGAGATGGCCTGCAGCAAATCAAATGTGTATTAGATAACTCCTAGGGCGTTCATTAGCTAAGACTTGGGAATAGGGACAGCGAGAGACCAATAGAACAAATTGTAGAATTATGACTAAAAGGTTTATTAGGTGATATGTCTTATTACCTCGCTTTGTCCCACCTTCTCCTTTAGTGAAAATGCCGTAAAACTTGCTCAATCCTTTGTTCTTGGCTCTTGGCATTTTGGTCAGGAGCCCTTTTCCTTGGAGGACTCCAGTAAATAGCAGTCGGAAAACCTGCACCTCGTGTCTGGCGTCTCTCATTGGCTTTGCCACCAGGCTCAGACCCGAATTGGGGACAACACCTTCCAACACTAAAATGACTCTTCCTGGGCAGCCTCTCAGTCCCAGGAGAACCTCATGGCGATGGGAAGAAGTGATACACGGAGCCTCCGTGGAGGAAGACAAAAGTGGCATTGGACCAAGGCCAGCTCTGAGCTTTCATAGAATAGAATAGAATAGAATAGAATAGAATAGAATAGAATAGAATAGAATAGAATCTTTCTTGGCCAAGTGTGATTGGACGCACAAGGAATTTGTCTTGGTGCAAATGCTCCCAGTGTACATAAAAGAAAAGGTACACTCGTTAAAAATCAAGAATCATAACGTACAACACTTAATGATAGTCATAGGGTACAATAAACAATCAAATCATACCAGGAAACAGTCCATATAAATCATAACGATACAAGCAACAAAGTTACAGTGATACAGTCACAAGTGGGAGGGGATGGGAGATAAGGAGTGGTGAGAAGATTAACAGTAATAGTAGTGCAGACTTTGTAAATGGTTGGATAGTGTTGAGGGAATGATTTGTTTAGCAGAGTGATGGCTTTCGGGGAAAAACTGTCCTTGTGTCTAGCTGTTCTGGTGTGCAGGGCTCTATAGCGTCGTTTTGAGGGTAGGAGTTGAAACAATTTATGTCTGGGATGTGAGGGGTCTGTAGATATTTTCACAGCCCTCTTTTTGACTCCTGCAGGATCCAGGCCCTTGATTGAAGGCAGGTGGGTAGCCATTGTTTCTTCTGCAGTCCTAATTATCCTCTGAAGTCTGTGTCTGTCCTGTTGGGTTGCAGAACCAAACCGGACAGTTATGGAGGTGCAGATGACAGACTCAATAATTCCTCTGTAGAACTGAATCAGCAGCTCCTTGGGCAGTTTGAGCTTTCTGGGTTGGTGCAGAAAGAACATACTTTGTTGGGCTTTTTTGATGATATTTTTGATGTTAGGTGTCCATTTTAGGTCTTGTGATATGATGAAACCTAGAAATTTGAAGGTCTCTACTGTTGATACTGTGTTGTCTAGTATTGTAAGAGGTGGTAGTATGGGAGGGTTTCTCCTAAAGTCTACCACCATTTCTACGGTTTTGAGTGTGTTCAGTTCCAGATTGTTCCAGTTACACCACGAGGCAAGTTGTATAACCTCCTGTCTGTATGCAGCTACTTCGTTGTCTTGAATGAGACCAGTCACTGTTGTGTCATCAGCAAACTTCAGTATTTTAACAGATGGATCGTTTGAGATGCAGTCATTGGTATATAGGGAGAAGAGAAGTGGAGAAAGCACACAGCCTTGGCAGGCGGGGGGGAGGGGGGCTGTGCTGATTGTACAGGTATCGGATGTGATTCTGCCTAGCTTCACCTGCTGCTTCCTGTCTGTTCATGGTGGTGGGGCCAGCAGGGAAGCACTTGCAAGTCTGGTTCCATTGCATCAGCCGGTGGCTTCTCCACTGACCAGGTTTAAGGCCCCTCTTTTGGGGAGGCCAGGCAGGAAAAGCTGACAATTTGACCAGAATAGGTTTCAAGTAAAGCTTAGTTAGGTACACAAAGGTTGTGTTAAGAGTTGTTTATTTAGCATCCTTTTCAGGACAGAGTCAAGGATGTGAGGAAGGAAGTGCATAGTACACAAAGCTTTGCTTGGCTGGTTCTAGAGAATGGCAGAGGTGTGGGGGGAAGCGTGGGGGATGATTACACAGGAAAGATTGTTGTTGTTTTTAAAAAAAATTGGCAACGTTGAAGCTGAAAGGTGAGAATCCGGGCATATTCTTGAAAAGGCCTGGCAGATTTTCAGGCTGGCTGTTTCTGTCTGTGAACAAATGGAGAAAGCGTGGAAATGGCCTGGTCTTATTGCAATTGTGAACTTGGATTGTTGCATACAGAATGGTGGCTGTGATGGGGTCTGACTTGGTAAGTATTAAATACTGCAGTATTATTTATCCTTGTATTACCTCTTATTTCCCCTTTCTACTGACTGAACACTTTGAATGCAATTATTATTACTTTCTCTGTTGTCTTGCAAGTGTAATGAGTGTTTCTCTACCCAAAACACACTTGTTCAAATAACCTATTCTATTCTATTCTATTCTATTCTATTCTATTCTATTCTATTCTATTCTATTCTATTCTATTCTATTCTATTCTATTCCATTCCATTCCATTCCATTCCATTCCATTCCATTCCATTCCATATAATATAATACGATATGATACAATACGATATGATACAATACAATACAATATAATAAATATAGTATAGTATAGTATAGTATTGTAATGTTCTGTCCTGTCCTGTCCTATTCTATTCTATTCTATTCTATTCTATTCTATTCTATTCTATTCTATTCTATTCTATTCTATTCTATTCTACTCTACTCTACTCTACTCTACTCTACTCTACTCTATTCTATTCTATTCTATTCTATTCTATTCTATTCTATTTTACAATTAACCAGTGGAACAACTTGCCACCAGAAGTTGAGGGTGCTCCATCCCCCAGAGGTTTTCAAAAAAAGACTGGACAACCTTTTGTCAAAAAAATGGTATAGGTTCTCCTGCTTGAGCAGGGGGCTGGACTAGAAGACCTCCAGGATCCCTTCCAACTCTGTTAATCTGTTATTCTCTCAAGAGCAAGCAACCAGAATTACTTGGGAAGAGTCTCCAAGAGGTTTATTAGGGGTCCCTGAAGCTCTCTGACCTTGATTCGTTTTATGCAGACGTCCCTTTACCCAAACTAGGTAACATAATCCGTTTCATGGCTAGTCACCTATGAGACAAGGATCTCGCCAGACTGACCGCCTTCCCTTGGGAATGGCAAGGGAAGGCTTGGGGGATTCTGGGGGAGGCAGCCCTGGGGTGCTTTCTGCAGCTCAAAGACTCCAAGCTCAGCCCCCTCTTAACGCCTCCCTCCAGTCTATCTGGAGAGTCCGCCACACCCTGCTTCCTTTTTCTGCCCCTCCCCAGATTCATAATCCAGGCGTCTTGCAACAGCCATGGTCCCTTGTTGTGCTCCTCAACAATATTTCCAGTGACCCTTCACAGCTGAAGAGGGGTTGGCCAGAGAGCTGACCAGCCAGTATGGGAAGGCAGAGGTTCTTGGTGGGTGAGAGGGAGGGGAGTCTGGGTCCTGGGCTCCTCGGGATGACCCAGGGAGGTTGAAGGTGCCACCTGAGACAGTCCTTTCTAGTAGGATGAAATATTGACCAAGCTCCATTCATCAATTGGCAAAAATTGAGGTTTTGCTGTACTAGCCAATGTCCCCCTCTTCTGCTGGAGTGCTCAAGCCAGGAACACCAGTAGCAAGGATCCACATAGTTGTGGGAGCTCCAACACTGGAGGTTTTAAAGAAGAGATTGGACTGCCATTTGTCAGAAACGGTATAGGGTCTCCTGCTTGGGCGGGGGGTTGGACTAGATGACCTACAAGGTCCCTTCCAACTCTATCAATCTGTAATCTGACCCTCCACTAGGGCGAAGCAATTGCCTTTGTTGGTAGATGGGAGTGCCTTCTGGTCATGGGAACTCTTGTTTGTTTGTTTGTTTGTCAAACATGTACAAGATAACAAGTGTAAGTATGAACATAAACATGGACAAAGGAAGGAAATACAGATTAAACGGGGACAGTAAGACAAGGAACGGTAGGCACGCTGGTGCGCTTATGCACGGCCCCTTTAAGGACCTCTTAGGAAGGGGGTGAGGTCCACGGTAGACAGTTTGAGGTGGAAGCTGTGAGGGGTTGAGGGGCTGTAACAACAGAGTCAGGTAGGGCATTCCAGGCGGTTGAAGTCATATTTTAAAGTCATAATCTGTTGGTGAAATCATATTTTCTGCAATCGAGTTTGAAGCAGTTTACCTTGAGTTTGTGTCGATTGTTTGCCTGTGTATTATTGTGGTTGGAGCTGAAGAAGTCGTTGACAGGTAAGACATGGTAGCAGACAATTTTGTGTACTATGCTTAGATCAGACCACAGGCAATGCAGTTCTGGATTGTCCAAACCCAACATTTCAAGCCTGGAGACATAGGGTGAGTAGATAGAGGAGTGGAGAAATTTCTCGAGAAATACCACTAAACCCGCTCAATCGTGTTAATGTCAATATACAATGTGGATTCCAGGCGGACGAGCTGTATTGGAGAATTGGTCTGGCAAAGGTTTTGTATGTCCTGGTTAGCAATTCAACATTGCTGGAGAAGAAGCTTCGCAAAATAAGGTTAACAACAACACTGCCTTTTTGGCAATGCTGTTACAGTGAGCTCTGGGGCTTAGATGAGTTCTCCTAGGTCCTTGATGGAGTGAGGGCCTTGCATAGAAAGAACCAAAGAGAAGCTGATGTATGAAGGCACCTGCTCAGAATTTACCTGACCTGGTTAAGGCCACACCTAGAGTCCTGCATCCAGTTTTGGTCACCACACTATAAAAAAAGAGGTTGAGACTTTAGAAAAAGTGCAGAGAAGAGCAACCAGGAGGATGAGGGGACTGGAGGCTAAAACATAAGATGGACGGTTGCAGGAACTGGGCCTGGCTAGTCTAGGGAAGAGAAGGACCAGGGGAGACAGGATAGCGGTCTTCCAATATTTGAGGGGCTGCCCCAGAGAGGAGGAAGGGGGTCAAGCTATTCTCCAAGGCCCCCAAAGGCCAGACAAGGAATAATGGATGGAAACTGAACAAGGAGAGAGATTCAACCTAGAAATAAGGAGAAACTTTCTGACAGTGAGAACAATCAACCCATGGAACAGAAGTTTCTTCCCCAAACCCCAAAAACTTTAACCTTAGACTGTCTACTATGGACCTCACCCCTTTCCTAAGAGGCCTGTAGGGGGCCTGCATAAGCGCACCAACGTGCCTACCATCCCTGTCCTATTGTTTCTTTTTATTTTTCTTATATGTATCCATGTATTCATAACTATGTTTTTACTTATACCTGTTATCTTGTAAGCAATTGACAAAAATGAATAAATAAAATAAAATAAAGTTGTCTTCGGAAGTTGTGGGACCTTCATCACTGGAGTCTTTCAAGAAGAGATTGGACTGCCCTTTGTCAGAAATGGTATAGGCTCTTCTGGGAGGATTGGATTAGTTGACCTCCAAATTAAGGTTAGGATTAGGGCTGTTACGTTATTCTATTATTATTCTATTTTATATCAGCCACTGTTGAGCTCTAACTCTGTTGACTGTCATGAAACCAACCAGGGGGCCAACAGCCACAGAGTCTGGGGGGGCCCCCTCACAAAATGTCAGAATTAGGGATTGAGGGGTAGGGGACCCCCTCCGTTTACCTGGTGGGCATTCCTGAAGTGCCACCTGCTTCCTTGGTCCAAGGGGGGAAACAAAGCCACCTTGACTAATTGGTGGGATTTAAGTGTTGTACCTGATGATTCTTGACTCTTGATGAATGTTCTTTTCTTCTATGTACCCTGAGAGCATTTGCACCAAAGACAAATTCCTTGTGTGTCCAATCACACTTGGCCAATAAAGAATTCTATTCTATTCTATTCTATTCTATTCTATTCTATTCTATTCTATTCTATTCTATTCTATTCTATTCTATTCCTATCTATCTATCTATCTATCTATCTATCTATCTATCTATCTATCTATCTATCTATCATCTATCATCTATCTGATTTGATTGCTTACTGTACCCTATGACTCTTATTAAGTGTTGTACCTGATGATTCTTGACTCTTGACGAA